TGGCCTGTACGATAGGCCTGAACTGCTAGAGTAAGCCTACCCTCTTGCTGAGTAAATATCACGTTCTGTTGTTGAGGCATTGTCTTTCGTACGTGAAGTTCGCGATGCCAAGAAAAAGTGGCACTCTCGGTGGGGTGGCACTCTCGGTGGTGGAATACGTTACTTATAAATTTACAATTTAAAGCTTAGTAATTCAGACAGTATATATCTGTCTTGATAATACAGATAATAATATAACTAGAGAAATATATCCCAAGGAAAATCAGACTATAAATAGTTAGATAAGACTTCAGGTAGGAAGCGCTATAGTCTATCAATAGATCTAAAGCGTCTTTAGGCTAAGGGGTCCTCTAGAATACGTGAAGGATGATTCTTTGTAGGAGTATCAGACTTATATTCTACTAGTTAAAGTAAAACTCAGGAGATGAATAAGTTTGAGAGAACAAATAAGAGTAGCGGTAAGTTAATAGCTAGCTGTACCTAATCCACTTGCACAGTCAGCATTAAGTCAAAGCTTACGTATTATATTCGCATTAGGGGTATAAACTTTCTCAGTCTCCCCGAGCGACCGAGGCTAGCGAATGCTCTATTCGGGCATCGCTGCGTTTTGATTGAGGAAAACAGAAGCGATCAGCCGGGATCACAGTTTGTAAGTGTCAACCCAATGGTGTACATCCTCATATTTTGTGTACCATCTCACATCATCAGGAGAATCATTACCGTTGTAATCTGCTGGTTGAGACAATGCATAATGAATATCGGCCCGACTAGAATGTTAAAGTACTGGATCCCATCGAAGAACGTGCTCAACACTGATGTTAATTCGCTGGCAGATTTCTACGGAGGCCTTCCGCCGGCTGCTCACGTTCATTTTCTGTCCTCCGATTCTTAAGGCGAATAGGTTCACATCAGAGCGCCAGTCATGGCATCGCCTGTAGTCTCGGTACGAGCTTGTTAACGGCAAGTCCTCAGTTGTTATGCACGTCTGCAGGCCTCCCTCTACCTGGCGATGTTTTCATCGAGTTCGCCATCGAAGTTGACCTGCTGACACGATCTGTTCCTGGTTGGTGCCGCCAATGGTTGGCTTTGGAAGGATGCTGAATTTGCGATAAACCTGGTCGTTGATAAAGCTGATGTAAGACCCCGAAAGTTACGGCGGGGCGACCTAAGTACCAATCAGCGGGTCGACAGGAGAGCAAGAGCATTGCAGGATCTTGCGAGTTGCACGTCTAGGAAAACAGAAGGTCGGCTCGGCCATGCGAAAAATATCTACCGGAATCAAACACAGAAGATAGCTGGCTCTTGCAGTGAGTCGCTTGAGCCATTTTTGGATCCTCGTCCATAACAGCCTCGAGTTTGCATCAATGCCTGTCCAGAGCAATTGGTTGTGATCGGGCAACAGAACAGCCGATGCGGTAATTGTGTCTATTAATAGTTTAGAATTCAGGAGTTTCTAGATGATGTTACCGCCCTGCTGGCCCTACTTCCGCCAATCGTGACGCATGATGGAGGTCAGTAGTGGCCATGCTCTGCTGCCACGGTTGGGGTGCTCGGCAGGGGGATCGACCTGATCAATTGTTAGAGCACGTGAGATTGAACGCAGTGGTATATAAAGAGTTGTCCTAATCATTCTTACTCACCACTCGTCCAATAATTCCCTTTCCAACGCGGTCTCCGATCCACATGATTTCCAACGCTGTTCTCCTTTCCGCATTTGCGGCCTGCGCATTGGCTGCACCAGCTACATCTCCCAACCCAAGCAGCCATGTCTTTGGTCCCACCAACCTCTGGAAAGTTCCTGCGATGGCTAATCCGAAGGACCCAAAGCACGTTCTATGGAAGCATGTCAATCTTGTCGAATCTACTGTCGATGTCGCAGCTAAAGACGGACGCCTCTTCTCGTACTACCCGGCTATGTACAACGCTGGTGGCTTCCTCTACCTGCTCTTCTCCGGCGCCTCCAAGGATGTTGATGGCATGGGCCAAGATGTGCGAATCTCTTTTCTCACACAGAAGGGGCAGTGGAGCAAGCCGGAAATCGCATTTCCTGCGGCTCTCTTGCCAAATCAGACTACCGTGCAGACGTCAGATTACTACTGCAAACGTGGAATTTCTCAAAGAGCCTTGCAGGCATTGACCATTGTCTATGTTGGCCTTGACAGGTCCGACTCAAGATATTATGCGGTTGCGCAATCCAGTGACAACATCTGTCCTGGCAGCTTTCAGTCGGCTGGCCGCATCGCCCGTCGTATAAACACCGACGGCAACCCGTCGACCGGGACGTTTATAGGTGAACCATGCTGGATCGAGACCAACAAGTACACCACCTCACACGAGTGGGCTAAGACCATCTATGGCACCAAGTACCAAATGAAGGTATGCAAGGACAAGGACGCTATCAACGCTGCATTGGCAAAACCACAAAACGTTCCAGCTCAAGCGACCAGCCTCTTGAACGCACCGCTGTTTGCTGCTGATAAAAAGCACAACGTCAACTACCCTACCAATGCTGTTTACCTTACCGACTCTTCAAGCAAGGGTCGTTACATGCGCTTTTGGACAGATGTCTCTTTGAAGAATCGCACCGGCACCGCTTTTGTCGAGTATTCCGCTGATAAATATGGCAAACATTGGTTCCCAGCCACGACTGACGGCCTCAATATTCAAGAGACAAACATATACACCACGGAGAAGACTTGGTTCGGTAGTAGCGATGCGCAACAGCAGACCCGAGTGTACATCTCCAACGGCTATATGGATCCAGTCTCATCTCAAAACATCCTTACCATTGCGACTTCGCGCGGCGCTGATCTCGTCTTTCACAACATCGGGATACTCCGTGGCGGTAACGCTAGCAAGTCGGTTCCTAGCGGCACTCGCGGTCGCGGCTTCACAGATGCACCCGGATTCTACTGGCCGTCAGCTTCTTTCGCCGGTGATGAGCTACTGGTCGCTTACAGCGAGAACAAGGCAGCTATCCGTGTCGCTACTATCAAGCTCAAAGATCTTCCATAAGTCTTCAACAATGGGCTCTATCTCATGTTATTCGACAACGTAGCACTTAGTACGTAGACTGTTTGCCCACAACGGCGCTCTAATTCCGATTACAAATCGGCAATACTATATGTAAATGGATGATCTTATCGCACCGCAATAGGACAGAGTCACGTACAATGTACTGCTATGCTTAACATGTTGTCATCTTTCGTTCTTTGAATACCCATCAACCATTTATCCCTTGATCTTTTGCTAAGAATTCCCCCTTAAGATGTAATCATAGTTTACAAAGAAGTTTCGCAACATGTTCTAAGTATTGCTGCTTCTCGACAGACTGACCTCACTACGTTGTCCTAAGACCAAGTCCCAAGGCCTTGCACTTGGCCTACTACTGCACTTGCTTCAGGCTACTTCCTGGAGTGCTAGTGTGATAAAGATGGGTTTCATGTCAACGATATTTTGTTTTCTACTTCAAGCGCGACCGTGGTAAGCTAATGTATTAACCCCCTAGAATTCCACTTCTTACATTGGCAACGTAAAAGGAATGTTCATAGTTTGATGATTCGTGCAATCAATAGCCCTATCATTGTACATAACAGTGAAAAAAATGTTTATCTTATTTGTACTAGGACAGGAACTATGAGTTTGCTAATATAACCAAACTCCAAGATCATAGCTTCCGACCATTCATCTTCATATCACCGTTCAGATAGGATTTTTATACGCCCTACCCTAGTGATAGTAGCTACTCGCCAACTTGGTATATGTTATATGGCTGATCAATTGGACATACATGAAGAAGGCCAATAGGAACATCCCACCTTCTCATAGGGCTCGCTTTCAATTTAGGACATGTAACCTGTATCACCCTGTGGTGAGCATTTGACGATCATTCCTGCTTGACATGAGTCTCTATTAAATTAACGCGGCAAATTATCAAACATGTATGATAGTAGCAGTACGGCCCGCAAATGTGGTGCACAGTGCGACCACAAGGTGAAACAAGGTACTTGGAAGCCTGTCAGATAACATATGTACATATATGATAAGTCTTATTGGAATCTAGCAAAACATTGCATATCAGCCTGATGACTCAATAATCATGAGTTGAAATTGTCCTACTAGCGAATTAATGCCTAATCACACATGTAGAATAACGTGGTTCATAAGCGAGTCGGCCACCCAAGCGAGTCGGCCACTTTGTACCGGCGCGTTGACGTTAACACTATAACGCGTTATGTCTTAACTACACAATTATTTATTAATCTATTCTAAATCTAATCTTTAACTTGCTCTTTTCAACGTCTAATCGCAATATATTTAAAGCTAAAGACGTGCTGCTTCTATCTATAACGTGCCTTAAACTACTCTCTAAGACTAACGCGCTAGAAAGCGCTTTTAACGCAACTATAAACTAAATTTAAAGCGCCTAAATAAGCTAGAAAAGGAGGCTATTGTTAGGCGTATTTTTAAAGAGTCTACGCGAGGATTTGCCCCTATAAAGGCTAAGGTTTAAGCAATAGCTAATAAACTATTAGAGAAGCGTAGTAGTAACCCTGTTAGCAAGAACTAGGTTAACAACTTTGTTAAGTGGACTTCTAGGCTCTGTACGCGCTAGAGCTGTCCTTATAATTACTAGCAAGCCGCCTATAAGGATCTAGTAGCTATCTAGCGCTAGTTTGACTTAGTCTAGGCGATAAAGTAGAAGTGGGGTATTGTAGACGATAATATCTACAACTTTAACAAAACTAGGTTTATAATAGGCAAGATTTTATTATAGTTAGTTATTATAGGCTTAGAAGGATATAAGAAAAAAAAAGCGGGTATAGCTAAGCAACTATAAGTAGGTTACTATAATCTAAGGTGTGGGCGCGTTAGGTTGCTAAATACTACCCTTTGTTGTCTTTGTGGGCAAGGTGCTTATTAACGTCTGTAACGGCGCAGGTAAGGCAGGTCGGATCTGTTTCGGTCGTAGGATCACTCAGAGGCATATGGGAGTGCGTGGGATCACAAAGAGCCTAGATTCAACAAGCCACCTATAGGCCTTGTACGAAGGATATCAAAA